TTCAAGGCTGCTGTGAGTGCAAGCGCCCCTTTGGAAGGGAGTTGAGATGGGTTGAGATGGGCTGCAACGTGATTGTGAGGAGCATCACAGTCGGGGTACGGGGTGGTCATGGACAGCGGTACCACCTTCTCCTACCTTCCCCGCAAGGCCTTTGAAGCCTTCAAGGCTGCTGTGAGTGCAAGCGCCCCTTTGGAAGGGAGTTGAGATGGGTTGAGATGGGCTGCAACGTGATTGTGAGGAGCATCACAGTCGGGGTACGGGGTGGTCATGGACAGCGGTACCACCTTCTCCTACCTTCCCCGCAAGGCCTTTGAAGCCTTCAAGGCTGCTGTGAGTGCAAGCGCCCCTTTGGAAGGGAGTTGAGATGGGTTGAGATGGGCTGCAACGTGATTGTGAGGAGCATCACAGTCGGGGTACGGGGTGGTCATGGACAGCGGTACCACCTTCTCCTACCTTCCCCGCAAGGCCTTTGAAGCCTTCAAGGCTGCTGTGAGTGCAAGCGCCCCTTTGGAAGGGAGTTGAGATGGGTTGAGATGGGCTGCAACGTGATTGTGAGGAGCATCACAGTCGGGGTACGGGGTGGTCATGGACAGCGGTACCACCTTCTCCTACCTTCCCCGCAAGGCCTTTGAAGCCTTCAAGGCTGCTGTGAGTGCAAGCGCCCCTTTGGAAGGGAGTTGAGATGGGTTGAGATGGGCTGCAACGTGATTGTGAGGAGCATCACAGTCGGGGTACGGGGTGGTCATGGACAGCGGTACCACCTTCTCCTACCTTCCCCGCAAGGCCTTTGAAGCCTTCAAGGCTGCTGTGAGTGCAAGCGCCCCTTTGGAAGGGAGTTGAGATGGGTTGAGATGGGCTGCAACGTGATTGTGAGGAGCATCACAGTCGGGGTACGGGGTGGTCATGGACAGCGGTACCACCTTCTCCTACCTTCCCCGCAAGGCCTTTGAAGCCTTCAAGGCTGCTGTGAGTGCAAGCGCCCCTTTGGAAGGGAGTTGAGATGGGTTGAGATGGGCTGCAACGTGATTGTGAGGAGCATCACAGTCGGGGTACGGGGTGGTCATGGACAGCGGTACCACCTTCTCCTACCTTCCCCGCAAGGCCTTTGAAGCCTTCAAGGCTGCTGTGAGTGCAAGCGCCCCTTTGGAAGGGAGTTGAGATGGGTTGAGATGGGCTGCAACGTGATTGTGAGGAGCATCACAGTCGGGGTACGGGGTGGTCATGGACAGCGGTACCACCTTCTCCTACCTTCCCCGCAAGGCCTTTGAAGCCTTCAAGGCTGCTGTGAGTGCAAGCGCCCCTTTGGAAGGGAGTTGAGATGGGTTGAGATGGGCTGCAACGTGATTGTGAGGAGCATCACAGTCGGGGTACGGGGTGGTCATGGACAGCGGTACCACCTTCTCCTACCTTCCCCGCAAGGCCTTTGAAGCCTTCAAGGCTGCTGTGAGTGCAAGCGCCCCTTTGGAAGGGAGTTGAGATGGGTTGAGATGGGCTGCAACGTGATTGTGAGGAGCATCACAGTCGGGGTACGGGGTGGTCATGGACAGCGGTACCACCTTCTCCTACCTTCCCCGCAAGGCCTTTGAAGCCTTCAAGGCTGCTGTGAGTGCAAGCGCCCCTTTGGAAGGGAGTTGAGATGGGTTGAGATGGGCTGCAACGTGATTGTGAGGAGCATCACAGTCGGGGTACGGGGTGGTCATGGACAGCGGTACCACCTTCTCCTACCTTCCCCGCAAGGCCTTTGAAGCCTTCAAGGCTGCTGTGAGTGCAAGCGCCCCTTTGGAAGGGAGTTGAGATGGGTTGAGATGGGCTGCAACGTGATTGTGAGGAGCATCACAGTCGGGGTACGGGGTGGTCATGGACAGCGGTACCACCTTCTCCTACCTTCCCCGCAAGGCCTTTGAAGCCTTCAAGGCTGCTGTGAGTGCAAGCGCCCCTTTGGAAGGGAGTTGAGATGGGTTGAGATGGGCTGCAACGTGATTGTGAGGAGCATCACAGTCGGGGTACGGGGTGGTCATGGACAGCGGTACCACCTTCTCCTACCTTCCCCGCAAGGCCTTTGAAGCCTTCAAGGCTGCTGTGAGTGCAAGCGCCCCTTTGGAAGGGAGTTGAGATGGGTTGAGATGGGCTGCAACGTGATTGTGAGGAGCATCACAGTCGGGGTACGGGGTGGTCATGGACAGCGGTACCACCTTCTCCTACCTTCCCCGCAAGGCCTTTGAAGCCTTCAAGGCTGCTGTGAGTGCAAGCGCCCCTTTGGAAGGGAGTTGAGATGGGTTGAGATGGGCTGCAACGTGATTGTGAGGAGCATCACAGTCGGGGTACGGGGTGGTCATGGACAGCGGTACCACCTTCTCCTACCTTCCCCGCAAGGCCTTTGAAGCCTTCAAGGCTGCTGTGAGTGCAAGCGCCCCTTTGGAAGGGAGTTGAGATGGGTTGAGATGGGCTGCAACGTGATTGTGAGGAGCATCACAGTCGGGGTACGGGGTGGTCATGGACAGCGGTACCACCTTCTCCTACCTTCCCCGCAAGGCCTTTGAAGCCTTCAAGGCTGCTGTGAGTGCAAGCGCCCCTTTGGAAGGGAGTTGAGATGGGTTGAGATGGGCTGCAACGTGATTGTGAGGAGCATCACAGTCGGGGTACGGGGTGGTCATGGACAGCGGTACCACCTTCTCCTACCTTCCCCGCAAGGCCTTTGAAGCCTTCAAGGCTGCTGTGAGTGCAAGCGCCCCTTTGGAAGGGAGTTGAGATGGGTTGAGATGGGCTGCAACGTGATTGTGAGGAGCATCACAGTCGGGGTACGGGGTGGTCATGGACAGCGGTACCACCTTCTCCTACCTTCCCCGCAAGGCCTTTGAAGCCTTCAAGGCTGCTGTGAGTGCAAGCGCCCCTTTGGAAGGGAGTTGAGATGGGTTGAGATGGGCTGCAACGTGATTGTGAGGAGCATCACAGTCGGGGTACGGGGTGGTCATGGACAGCGGTACCACCTTCTCCTACCTTCCCCGCAAGGCCTTTGAAGCCTTCAAGGCTGCTGTGAGTGCAAGCGCCCCTTTGGAAGGGAGTTGAGATGGGTTGAGATGGGCTGCAACGTGATTGTGAGGAGCATCACAGTCGGGGTACGGGGTGGTCATGGACAGCGGTACCACCTTCTCCTACCTTCCCCGCAAGGCCTTTGAAGCCTTCAAGGCTGCTGTGAGTGCAAGCGCCCCTTTGGAAGGGAGTTGAGATGGGTTGAGATGGGCTGCAACGTGATTGTGAGGAGCATCACAGTCGGGGTACGGGGTGGTCATGGACAGCGGTACCACCTTCTCCTACCTTCCCCGCAAGGCCTTTGAAGCCTTCAAGGCTGCTGTGAGTGCAAGCGCCCCTTTGGAAGGGAGTTGAGATGGGTTGAGATGGGCTGCAACGTGATTGTGAGGAGCATCACAGTCGGGGTACGGGGTGGTCATGGACAGCGGTACCACCTTCTCCTACCTTCCCCGCAAGGCCTTTGAAGCCTTCAAGGCTGCTGTGAGTGCAAGCGCCCCTTTGGAAGGGAGTTGAGATGGGTTGAGATGGGCTGCAACGTGATTGTGAGGAGCATCACAGTCGGGGTACGGGGTGGTCATGGACAGCGGTACCACCTTCTCCTACCTTCCCCGCAAGGCCTTTGAAGCCTTCAAGGCTGCTGTGAGTGCAAGCGCCCCTTTGGAAGGGAGTTGAGATGGGTTGAGATGGGCTGCAACGTGATTGTGAGGAGCATCACAGTCGGGGTACGGGGTGGTCATGGACAGCGGTACCACCTTCTCCTACCTTCCCCGCAAGGCCTTTGAAGCCTTCAAGGCTGCTGTGAGTGCAAGCGCCCCTTTGGAAGGGAGTTGAGATGGGTTGAGATGGGCTGCAACGTGATTGTGAGGAGCATCACAGTCGGGGTACGGGGTGGTCATGGACAGCGGTACCACCTTCTCCTACCTTCCCCGCAAGGCCTTTGAAGCCTTCAAGGCTGCTGTGAGTGCAAGCGCCCCTTTGGAAGGGAGTTGAGATGGGTTGAGATGGGCTGCAACGTGATTGTGAGGAGCATCACAGTCGGGGTACGGGGTGGTCATGGACAGCGGTACCACCTTCTCCTACCTTCCCCGCAAGGCCTTTGAAGCCTTCAAGGCTGCTGTGAGTGCAAGCGCCCCTTTGGAAGGGAGTTGAGATGGGTTGAGATGGGCTGCAACGTGATTGTGAGGAGCATCACAGTCGGGGTACGGGGTGGTCATGGACAGCGGTACCACCTTCTCCTACCTTCCCCGCAAGGCCTTTGAAGCCTTCAAGGCTGCTGTGAGTGCAAGCGCCCCTTTGGAAGGGAGTTGAGATGGGTTGAGATGGGCTGCAACGTGATTGTGAGGAGCATCACAGTCGGGGTACGGGGTGGTCATGGACAGCGGTACCACCTTCTCCTACCTCCCCCACAAGGCCTTTGAAGCCTTCAAAGCCGCTGTGAGTCCAAGCACCGGGGTGAAGTGGGCTGAGGTGCTTTGAAATGTGTGAGATAGGTTTGAGATGGGCTGGGCTGGACTGGGCTGGGCTGGTCTGGGCTGGGCTGGGCAGAAAGGGTGCAAGTGTGAGAAGGCGATGTAGTAGGTGGTTGGTATGCATGTTGGTATGCAATGTGATTCTGAGCAGCATCACGGTCGGGTACGGTGTGGTGTGGTGATGGACAGTGGCACCACTTTCTCCTACCCCCCCCGCTAGGCCTTTGAAGCCTTCAAAGCCGCTGTGAGTGCAAGATCTGGCTTGCTGGTTGAGAGATGGAGTGAGATGGGTTGAGATGGCGTGAGATGGGTTGAGATGGCGTGAGATGGGTTGAGATGAGCTGGGCTGGGCAGGAGTGTGACTTAGTAGGTAGCTGGTACGCATGTGTTTCTCTGGGGCATGCAGCGGTTTTCGTTTTTTGTCTTCCTGCTTTCACGTACCATAACATTGGTGCTGTTCCTTTCGGCATGGGTGGGTGTGTGTGTGTGTGTGTATTGCAGGTGGATGCATCAGTGACGGGCGTGCAGAGCGTTCCCGGTCCAGATTCAGTGTATCAGGACGTGTGCTACGGCGGCGCCTCCAAGTAAGTCGCGCCTTACGAGTGTCCTGCCCCTCCTTCCGTCCCCTCCCCATCCCCTTCTCATTCCAAACCCTACCCACCCCCCTGTGGCCCCACCTTTTTGTTTCTGCTAATTTTCATGTGATCCGTGTATTGATGGAGGGAGCAGGGTGCATACCGGGTGAGGCAGACACACAGGCAGGCACACACGTGGCCACACACACATGGACATGCACACACCCACGCATGTGCCTGCGCACAGACACACACACACACACACACACACACACACACACACACGCACTCACATGCACACCTGTGAATCCTGACCCCCGCCCGCCCGCCCCTCCTTCTGCCTGCCTGCCTACCTGCCTACCTGCCTACCTGCCCGCCCGCCTGCCTGCCCACGTGTGTGTGTGCCCGTGATCCCCGTGCCCGCGCCCCCAACAGCAAGATAGAGGAGCTCTCCAATTACTTCCCCACCGTCTCCCTCACCTTTGATGGCGACTTGGTCTACGAGCTCACGCCCGAGAACTACCTCTTTCGAGTGCGTACACCACCGTACACGCACCTGTGCATGCACCTGTGCACCTGTTATGCGTGACATTTATTTGTTGTATTGTACCTTGGAGCAATTCAGTCCGGTTGTTGTGAGTAGACGGTTTTTGAGGCGTTTTGATGGCTGTCAAGGGCGTATGTATGCTCGGGATACCTGTGCTGTTTATTCATGGGATTAGGTTTGCCTCTGTTTGCATGCTTAGCAAGGTCTTGACTCTTGGTTCTTTCTCTGCTCTGCTTGCCTGTGCACCTGTGCTTCCCCCCCTTACGTGCACTGCAGCATGTGAAGGTGCCAGGATCCTACTGCCTAGGCTTGTTCAAGAATAATGACAGGGGAACACTCATTGGAGGTCAGCTTTCTCTCTTCTCAGTGCCCTTGTGAAACAATTTCCTCTTCTTCCTCGCACTCCCACTCCCCAGACCCCCACACGCGTTCCCTTTCCACTCCCCCTCCTCACAGTAGAAAATCTACAGTTTTCTTTTCCCAGCTGCCATTATCCTGTGTGTATGCCGCCTGCAGTGCAAAGGTAATAATGCTTCTCAACACTGCCTGCTCTCTGCACTTTCCCTTTCCCTTCTTCTCGCCTCCGCCCCCCCCCCCCCCCACTCCCTCTCCTCCGTTTCCCCCTCTCCCAGGGATTATCATGCGCAACACACTGGTGACATACGACCGAGTGAACAGCCGCATAGGCATGCTCAAGACCAACTGCCGAAACCTGTATCAGGAGCTGCAGCAGATATACACAGAGCAAGGGGCCAATCCCGCTCCACTCCCCGAGTATCTTCTATCTGAACCGCCCCCCTTGCCGGATTCTGCCCATCAAGGCGCTGGGAGGGGTGGAGATGGTGGGAGCGGAGGGGCAGAGGAAGGCGAGGGAGGTGGAGGAGGGGAGGAGGAGGGAGGAGGAGCGGGTGGGGAGGATGAGAATCCGGATGCGGATGCAGGTACAGGCGGTGGTGATGGAGGTGATGGTGGTGGGGAAAGTTCAGCGGAAGGTGCTCCTGCTGCGCCGTCTGTTGCTTGTGAGTCTCAGTGGGATGTGCATGGGCATGGGGGTGGGGATGGGGATGGGGATGGGGGGGGTATGGGGGGGGTATGGGGGGGGATGGGGGGATTGGGGTGACGATGGAGATGGGTTCAGAACGGTCCAGTTGTACTAAGCATGGGATTATGATAGGAGCTCTTCCTAATCTTTTAGATGAATATGCAGCGACCCTCCACCTGGTTTCGCTAAGCTCTGCTGCCCACCCCCATGTCCGTAAACCAGTCCCCCCCAGTACCCGCTCTGTACCCGCCCTCAACCTCCCACTTCCCCAACTGTCCCTCTCTACCACCCCTATCGCCCTGTCGGCCCTACAGCGTCGTGTGACGGCTGTGCAGGCAGCATTGTAACGGATCTGCTGGTGGGGCTGCTGCTGCTGCTGGGCTCTTCCCGTTACCCTCCCCTCTCGCACCTGTCCCCACAACCCCTATCGCCCTGTCGGCCCTGCAGCGCCGTGTGACGGATGTGCAGGGGGCATTGTGGCGGACCTGCTGGTGGGGCTGCCGCTACTGCTCTCGCCCTTACCCCTCCTCCCCCACCTGTACCTCCCTACCTGCAGCATCGTGTGATGGCTGCGCGGGCAGCATTGTGGCGGACCTGCTGGTGGGGCTGCCGCTGCTGCGCTTTGCCCCGCTTGTCAACCCCTTTGTGCATGACCTTTCACGGGAACTCGGACTGCTGGAAGCTCAGGTACGTTTCTCTTCTAGTATACTCTACAGTCATGTCATGCCGCTCGTCAACCCCGTCATGCGCGGCATTTTGTGCAAACTAGGACTGCTGGAAGCTCAGGTACGTTTCTCTTCTAGTATACCGAGCCAAAAGTCATGTCATGCCACTCGTCAACCCCTTTGTGCGCGGCACTTTGTGCGAACTCGGACTGCTGGAAGCTCAGGTAAGTTTCTCCTCTAGTATACTAAAAAGTCGATGTCATGCCGCTTGTCAACCCTGTCATGCGCGGCGTTTTGTGCAAACTCGGACTGCTGGAAGCTCAGGTAAGTTTCTCCTCTAGTATACTAAAAAGTCGATGTCATGCCGCTCGTCAATCCCGTCGTGCACGACCTCTCGCGCGAATTGGAGCTGCTGGAGGCGCAGGTACGTGTTTTTCTTTGAATTCTCAACCAAACTCTCGTGCCGTTTGGGTTGTCTACACCCCTCCTTTGTCAGGACCTCTCGTGGGAGCTGGGGTTCCTCGAGATTTATGTTACTTTCCCCGTTTCGCTCTCCCTTTTACCCGCACTCCTCCCAGGTGACTGTAGTGAGCTTTCACGAGGGGCAAAGTGCGACCCAGCAGCAGCAAGGGGGGGCGGATGGGAGTGCCAAAGCAGGCGGAGAGGCAGCAACGGACGTGGAGAGCACGCGTGTGAATGTGACCATCCTGCCCTCTCCACCTGATCTCGTGCTTGCTAAGGACACGGTGCAGGTGTGTATTGAAGTGGTGCAGAGCGGTAGACTGGTGCAGGTGGGATGGGCTAGGCTTATCTCATGTGGTGCGTGGTGAGGGGGCAATGCAAGTGAGTGTGAGAGAGTGCCAAGGAGTGCAATCCGGTGCATGTGAGTGCCCCATATGTGTGTGCCGCGTACCTCCGTGGTGTCTGTCTGCCATCAGTGAACCAGGTGTTATACAGCACCCTTCCCCTCCTTTTTCCTTGCGCTTCCCCCCCACTCACCCACCCCTTCCTCTCCTCGCTCGCTCTCTCCTTCCCCTCGCTTCTCGCACACTGCAGTGAAAATGCTTTAGGTACCTGAAACCCGCATGTGCTTCTCCCTATCCTTCTCGCACCGTCCCATCTCTCATCCCATGTTCACGACTCTCTCTCCCTTTGGCGCCTGCTCCTCTGTGCAGCGAGTGGTGAACGTGCTGCAGAGTCGCATGGCCATCCGGGATGTGTTTGGATCAGTCACTCTTCTTGAGGCGCCTAAAAATTGCTCTTCTCACTCTGTCTCCCAACCCGCACTCTCTTCTCTCCCTCCCTTGGCGCCCGCTCCTCACTGTAGCGAGTGGTGAACGTGCTGCAGAGTCCCATGGCCATCCGGGATGTGTTTGGATCAGTCACAGTGCTGCGTGTGCAAGTCGTGCTCAGTACTCCTGATACGTCCAGGTGAGGCCGCATGGGAGGAATAAAGGCATGGGCGGATGAGAGAGGATGGATGGATGGATGGATGGGTGGTTGCGTGGAGGGAGGTATGGAGGGCTTTGTTGTGTGGACTTCCACAATGGGAGATTCACAGAGTTGACAAGGAGGGGGCGGAAAGGGGTGGTAAACTCTGTCTCACATCCTTTTTCATTCTTCTTTTGTTTTCTCTTCCTTTTCCTACCACTTTCTACTTTCTTCGTCTTCCAAACATCCTCTTTTCACAAACACCCCCTCTTTTTCTTTCTTCTTTTGTATTCACTCCCTTTTCCTACCACTTTTTACTTTCTTCCCCGCTCGTCTTCCAAACATCGCAGCTCCCCTTTCGTTTGGGTGGGAGTGGGGGCTCTTGCGCTGGTGCTGCTTCTCCTGCTGCTGCTACTTGGGTGCTACTGCTGCAGAAAGAGATCGGATGGAATCAGTGCAAGGGTGGATGAAGTAGACGAGGAAGAAGGATTGGCTAGTAACATGGACGGGAAGGGAAATGATGCTGGGAACGGGGATATGGAAGGGGTCGGAGAGGGTGGGAAGGGTGTGAATGTGGGTGTGTTTGGGAGTGGGAAGGTGCAGGGTGGGTCGGGGGAGGAGGTATCGATGTTGAATGGGGAGGATGAGGGGGATGGAGAGGAGGAAGGAGAGAAGGTGACAATTCTGCAGCAAAGGGAGCCTAATGCTCCTCACTTGTAAAAGTTTTGTTATGACTAGACGACTTCTCTAGGGAGTGGCTTACGTTGTTTATGGGGATTTTTGAGTTGCTCGGAGTGCATTGTTATTTTTGTTTTGGGTGATTCCTGCCTGAGACACATGAAATGCTAACTTGGTTGACAGGTGAGGTGATGCTAGTGATTGTAGTTGGATGTAGAGGGTTGCCTCTTACCACTTTGAGAGGACCCATTTTTTAGTTAATGCTTGCACTTGTTGTAGACAGTTGCCAGTGCACTACTTATGAAGTTATGTTCGTATCGGAACACTCTGTGTGAAGCGCTATTTTGGAAGTGGCCTTTCAACCAATCAGGTTTCTCCCGCTGCTCTCCCGCCCCGCGGCGATCTCGAGGGATCTTCCGCCATCGCCTTCCTCCCCAAACCCCGCGCTTCGCTCCCCCCATACCGCGGCATTCTTCCTTCCTTTCCGCTTCCGCCTGGCATTAGGCGCGCCGAAAATAAAGCGCAGCAGGCTCACCAAATCGCTTCATCAGGGGGTGTCCAGTTCGTTCATTTCGGGGTTTTTAGTGCCAACACACGTCTCGAGGTTCAAAAATATTCACTGTACCTAAAAACGAATGCATTGTGAGTTGAGTCCCACCTACCTGTAATTTCAGGAGCGCGGACACGTTCTCCGCCACACGAATCAACAGTGCTCTGATCGCGTTCAAAACGAGGTAACTGTTTCCGTCGTCAATCATAGCTAACGAATTTTTGGGCAGGCGGGGGGTGTGTTGACGAGTGTAGCGAGCTACTGGCGAAATTGTGCAAGCGATACAGGGGGCGCTACTGTAGTGGCCAGGACGCGGTGCTGTACCCTTGTTCGTGTCCCCGCTGATTCCAGTAACGTGAGTCAGACGACATGAGGTACGTGCAGGGGGCGTGCCGTTTTGTGAACGAAAGCTGATTGTGTCCGCAGGACACGTTCAATACAGTGTTACAACAAAAAATGTGGTAACTGATCGGGCTTACGAACAGTAAATGTACGAGCTGGACACCCCCTCATTGTACTGTATTCCATCGATCCCCCTTTTTTCTGACAGGTTGCCTCCAAGGAGAACTTCTGACTTGCGTCCCGCTTGTTTGAAGGTTATCAGTAGCCACCCTGAATTGTGCGTCGCTGGATTAGTTCTGCTAAGTGGTGTTTCCGCATTGTAGGGACTGGTCCAGTGAATTGAAGTTGTGAGCCTGCTACTAACTGGACCGCGGATTACAAATATTTTTTGTTTTAGTTCTTATCCTTATCCTTTTTGTAAGAGATCGCTTCTAGGTTTTGTTTTCCTCTCCGCCGTCGCGATGAGCGGCTCTGCAAAAAACGAGAAGGCGAAGCCGTCGTTTCGACTGCTGCAAGTGCATCCGCGTACGTACGGCTAGATCACCATGGTCCATTCTTCCGAGGCTTTATAGACTTGGCTTTACCTGGCTTAGCGTCTAGTCCCTGCTCGTGGCTTACAGTTTTTAATTGCCTCGTTCTACCCAGCCAAATGTTCGTACGCGTCAGCACGTGTCGCGGTCTACAGTCCCGTGTCGCCTTCTGAATCGTCTTCTAAGCTGTGTCCACGTGTCACTCCAGTGGGGCGTACGCCACTTGTCCAATCACCTCCTCTTCCTCTTCAAACCGGCCAGACCTGGCCGCATATTGTCCCTTCCACATAAGGTTCCGCATTATGCAATGTATGTGCCCTTCCCCCGCGCCCTTCTGCCCCCATCCTTTCCGCCAGGCCGCAAGGAGATATCCGGGTCCGCGGACATTCTCCGCCAGGCGGGGCTGGAGGGCCCCTACCAGGTCCTATGCGAGCGCGCGCTTGCGCCGTCCGCGGTGGAATCGGGGTGCCTTGCGCGGATCCCCGGGGAGGTGGACATCCGCCAAGGCCCGCGGATGGAGCTGGCGGAAGTGCTAGACTCGATCGGCCGCCCCGCGGACGACGGCGCGGGGGAGGGTGGCGGGGGGGGAGCTGGGGAGGGTTTGTCGCTGCTGCAACCGCTAGCAGTGGATATGCTGCTGCGCGCATTCTCGTTCAGTGACAAAGCAGCGGTCGCTCTGCCCGATGTGAGTTGCGGTTGGGTGTGGTGTAGTGCGGTGCATGCTGAGTGCCGAGGGTGCTAAGTGTAAAGCGGGTGATTGCCTAAGGCAGTTTAGGTGTACGGCGGGGCATTGAGTGCGCGATTTGGGCAAGTGGGGAAGGAGCGGGAAGGCAGTGGGCGGAGGTGGGCGGAGGTGGGCGGAGGAGGTCTGTTTGCTGCTGGAAGGGTTGAGGGCAATGCTGGGATGAAGGGGGAGTATGACGGGTATGCGAGCAGAGTTGGTGCCTTGCCTTGCCTTGCCTTTCCTTCTCTTGCCTTGCCTTGTCTTCAATGGCTGCTTTGCTCACAACCCACCTCTCCGAGCCATGCTCTTCCCTTGCTGCTCCCTCTGCTTCCCTCGCTGCTCCCTCTGCTTCCCTTGCTGCTCCCTCTGCTTCCCTTGCTGCTCCCCGCTGCTTCCCTTCCTCCCTTCGCTTTCCTTGCTCCCTTGTATGCGGTTGGGACTCGTACAGACGGAACGAGGGAAGGCGACAGTGAGTAGCAACTGGCGGGGTGCAAATGGCAGTAGAGGCGCTGGCGGCAAGGAGAGGGAGAGAGAGCGAGAAAGGGACTCCAGTAGACACAGAAGTAAAGACAAGTCGAGAGACGGGGAGAGGCGGCATAAAGAGAAGGATAGGGAGAAGAAGGAGAAGGATAGGAAGGATAAGGAGAAGAAGGAGAGGGAGAGGAGGGAGAGGAAGGAGAGGGAGGAGGCGGAGAGGAAGGAGAAGGAGAAAGCAGAAGGGATGAGGGTGAAAGGGGATGAGAGGGAGAGGAAGGAGAGGGAAGAGAGGGAAAAGAGGGAGAGAGAAGAGCGGGAGAGAAAGGAGAGGGAGGAGCGGGAGGGTAAGGAGAAGGAGGAGAGGGAGAGGAAGGTACGGGAGGAAAAGGAGAAGGAGCGTGCAAAGGAAAGGGAGAGAGAAAAAGAGAAGGAGAGGGAACGGGAGCGTGAGAGATTGAAGGAGAAAGAGAGGAAGGAGAAGGAGGTTGAGAGGATCAGGGAAGCAGGCAAACAGCGAATGGAGAAATCAGTGGAAGGAGCTGCTGCTGCTGCTGCAGCTGCTGCTGGTTCTGGAGCTGGTGCTTCTGCTGCTGCTGCTGCTGCTGGTGCTGCTGGTGCAGGTCTTGGTGGTGGTGGTGCTGGTGGAATGCCAGCAGCAGGAGCAGCAGGAGTAGTTGCAGCAGCAGCAGGAGGGGAGGGCGTGGATCCAAAGAAGCTGAAAAAGAAGGTCAGTATTCCATATGCTGCCATACTGCCATGCCGCCATGCTACCCATGCCATCGACCATGCCCAATGCCCTGTGTGCATGTGCTTAGTTGCATCCTTGCCTTTCCCCTCAGCGCGTTGTGTCTATGGCATTCTTGTCCGCCACTCGTGGTGCCATCCCCTCCCTGTCATTCCGCATGCGCGCATCTTCCTTCCACTACTCGTACATCCTTTTGAGCCACCACAAAAGTCGCCATATGCTGCCGTGCAAGTCCCCCTTCATTCTCCTCCCTCCGCATTCCTTCCTCATCCCCTCATCCCCTCATCCGCCCCCCCCTCATCCAATCATCTTTGGCACTCCCTTAACCGTCACTCCATTTGTCCCCCATCGGCCCTCACTTGTCCCCCGTCGGCCCTCACTTGTCCCCCATCGGCCCTCACTTGTCCCCCGTCGGCCCTCACTTGTCCCCCATCGGCCCTCATTTGTCCCCCGTCGGCCCTCACTTGTCCCCCATCGGCCCTCACTTGTCCTTGTCCTTCCTCATTCGCCTCCCTCATCTCTTCCCCGCTGCATCTTCTCGCAACTGCTCGCTCAGAAGCGGAAGAGGGATGGCGAGCCGGAGAAGCCTGGCTCAGACAAGAAGCACAAGAAGAAGGTGAGGAGGGGTGAACGGGGGTGAGGAGGGGTGGAGCAAGGGGAGAAGATGTGGAGGAGGGTTAGCAGCCTTATGTGAAGACAATGGAATGATGTTGTGTTCCTGTGCATTGAGTTAGACGTCTCTAATTTCTAATTGGGTGATTCTTGGTGTTTTGTTGTAGGTTGGTCTTTCTGTGTTGCCTGTGTTACTGTGCATGTAACTGTGTGGTTTCTTGTGTGTTTCTTTTGGCATGCCTCACTGTCTGCACAAGCGTAAGTTGTTAGTGTGTGTGTGTTTCTGTGTGACTGTGTGCGACTGCATGTGACTGTTGGTGGCTGTGTGTGAATGTTTGACTATGTGTGACTGTATGTGACTGTGTCTGACTGTATGTGACTATGTGATTGTGTTTGACTGTTTGTGACTCGTGACCCTGTGTTACTGTATGTATCGTTGCAAGAGCAGAAGGACAAGCACAGCAGCGGAGGAGGCAAGGAGGCAGCACCAGCAGTGGTAGTTCAGGAGAATGGCACATAGCCATATAAAGGGTGAGAGGATGAAGGGTCAGTGGATGAGGAATGGGTGGGTGAGTGAGGGGCATATGATTTTATAGTTGTTGAATAGATGGTGAGTAGAGGAATGGAGGGTGGGGTGGTTGGGGTGGTAAGGATGGAGAAGAGACTGACTCTATCAAGGAGCAGAATCATCGCCATTATAACCATCGTGGTCGTTACTGTCAGAAGCATCATATAATTGTCAATCATCGTGATCATAAGCATCATCACGATTCACCATGTGAATGATTATCATCATACCTACTCATGATTATTATTACCACCACCACGATCACCATCCCCATCACAATATTCCCACCAACTTGTGGCAGGGAACCAGCAACTTTCAGACCCCGTGTTCCACCCCTCTGGTTTCTGCAAGTCGTCCCTGTCTCACATGGTAACCCCCCACTCTGCCTCGCATTACATGGTGAAGAGCTACTTCCAGGTTACCAGCCAACAGCACATTCTAGTAGTTTGTTATAAAAGTATGCTGACAGCCTTCTTCCTTGGAAATCAGCATTACATGCATGTTAATGATAGTGCCATTTTTAGCTGTGGGTGGGTCCCTTTCCTTCAACATTGGGCTTGTTGCTACAAACTTGGGCAAGGCAATTTGGACTCAGGAATTGTATGACAAGCTGATTAATGTGACCCACCAATACTGGAATAAAAAGGCTAGGAGTACGGTAATTCTGGTGCAACCTTTTCTAAAAAACCCTGCCATTGTGTATGGTGTAGGTATTGTTTCCCTATGATGTGAACTCTGGAGATGTATAAGTACAGTTATTTGTTTGAAATGCTCTTGTCCTCCATCTTGGTATTGTCGACTGTACTCACTGTAAGATGTCCTGAAAGCCATGATGCCCAGCTCACGTCATCTCAGGGGATGAAAAACAGTTAGAATCTGCCCGAACAGAAACAGATGTACGCGTTTTCCCGTGGCGAGAAACCAGGTGTACATACTGTGAACCATACTGTGAACCAACTTTCCCGAATCCTGGCCGGGCTCACAAATGGACTACAGAACTGTAGATCTCTCGTCCAGGGAAACTTACCTTGTTTACTGTACTGTATTGTGTGCACATTGCTGCAGGTCAAGCTGCAGTCGCCAGCAGTCAACAGAATCGTACTACTGTAGGGAACGTCGTATCGTATGTCGCAATGGAGCAAGAAAGGAACATGTGGTTCGTTCACCGGGCGTGGTGGGCCGGTACGGTGGTGCCAGTGACGGCAAGGACAACTGCTTTCATTACCAGACCTGAGAATTTGAATCCCTGGAGCCCAATCAGTGACGACGGCTGCAACCGGGAATGGAAATGGCGCCATGCCCGCCTATTTCCAATTAGACATGGCGTGTCGCTGGCAAGGCTGAGGGTGGCAGCGCATTTCAGAAAACAGCACGCCAGGAATTACGCGACGCCGTGCTCGTCTAGAATTGTAACCTCGTGGAGTAAAACGCTAGCGAGCGAGTCGTATGCAGTTACCATAACTGTCGGCAGCCCACTCGCTGCATTTGCGAGTCGCTGCGACTCACCACCGACTGTTCGTCTTCCTATATGCGACACCTGAGACGACTTCATTGCAGTTTTTGCGACTCATCTTGGTCACGTCATCCAACCACGTGCTTGCCTGCCGCCCAGTTTTGTCCTTTGCATTCGAATAACGACACGCCAGTCGTCTTGCTTTGCAACCGCCTCAGCTACGAGTTTTTGATATCTGTACTCGTCAAAACACTTCTTCAGGGATCAAGCAATTTCTTAGGCAAACATGTTTTTATATTTTGCCGTTTACCAGAAACAGAATATGGAAGGTGGGGGGCGGGGGGGTGTTCAAACCACTACTAGGAATTTGACCCAACAACCTGGTCGGAGCACACCCAAATAAAAAATATATCGGGAACACGGATCGCGTCACAACCACCCACCTGTCCGTTGTCACCCCATTCGTTTCTCCTCCGCAACATCCGCTGCTTGTTCTCTTCTCGAACCTCATCCTCTCCTCACCTCCTCACGCCCCCCCTCTTCCCGTCCTTCACCCCCTCTCAAAAAGCATCGCGTCGCGTCTGCTCATCCAAAATGTCCTCCTCGCATCTCTCATGATCTCATCCGCACACACATCCCCCCCTCCACACAACACACACCCACCCACCCAAAAACGCGTTACACAACAGCCCATCCCATCCAACAAACGGCCCATCTCATTCCTGCCGCATCACATCAAATTTCTCTCCAACTCGTGACTCGTCCCACGAGGAAATTTGATGTAATCAGCCCCACCACTTCGCTCCCTCACGACGAGTAAAGTCTCCACTCAACTTTACTCGTCACCAAACAGCCAAACATGTGCGTTTTTCCTCCCTCTTCCCTATTCCTTCTCATCCCAGCGCAACACCCGTCCAAATTCGACCTCAGACTATGACAACCTCCTCCCATACGCCAAGGGTTTGATTGACCAGCCGCGCATGACTCATGCGGAAAGAGACGGGACCGCAACCACCTTTATCCAGAAAACTCTCCTTATCTCTTTTTATCCCGCGTCGAGCTGATAGAAATCCTGTCTGTATTCAGAGAGCCCGAACTGCTTCCGCACTCCCGTCCTCACTCTTGGCCCTCTTCTCTCCCCAATCCCGAATCGCGCACGCACGCCGGAACGCGACAGTCTTCCGAGAACGCGGATGGAGCACGTTCCGCCGCGCGCGTGTGAGCCAGCACGACCCACGCTACGACCTTAAAACGCTCCAACGGCTCTTTGACCCTTGAGCTAACCTCGCAGTTTATCGGACTCGAAACCAGCTCTACTACTTTCACCGGCGTCGTCCCCCATTCCCATATTTTAGGCGCCTCATAAGGCGTCACATCCTCATTCCAGAAGTAGACTCTTCAATTTCTCGTGCGCCGCCCCCCGGCTTACCTCTTTTATCTTCTCCGTCATCATCGATACCTATCGCCGTTGGAGTGCAGACGCAGCCGCACTTGTCATACTAAATTGCGCGGTCCGTGTCCCCTGCTTTAGCTCCTGCAACCATTATCAGCAGTACCCTCTGGTAGTAGGCACAGCATTGGAACTCATCATCGCCATCATCTTAGTGATATCAGCAGCGATATTTCCCTTCCTAAGTCCACCAACAAACCTCTATCGCGCATCATCCATCGCAGGCGTCTGTTGCGATCGCTCTGCGACCGTTTCTGTGCGACCATCAGCTTTGACGAGTCGCCGCAGACTCGCGGAGGGAACCGCTCGTCGAATCGGACGGTCACGATGTTTTCTTCCTCTGACGGACCGCTCTTTCCTTCCCCGCCGCCTCTCGATGGATTCTATCCGCCACAAATGCCGCCGCATGTGTCGCCACGAGGGGGGAATCCTGCCGCTTCCGGCGGAGGCCAGCTCCCGTTCCACCCGCCGTTCGACACGCCGTACGACGCGGCGTATGATCCGGCGTACGAAGCGGCGTACGATGCGGTGTATGACGTGGCGTACGATGCAACACCGTACGAGGACATGATGGCGATGGTTCCGATGATGGTCAACACTCCTCCTCCTCCTGCTGCTTCCTACTACGAAGCAACGGCAGGCTATCAAAGGAAGGGGCATCGGCAGCATCAGCAGCAGCAGCATCACCAGCCGTACTTTCATCATTCCCACCACCCGTTGCCTCATCCGCCGCACTTTGCGCCGCATCTTCCGCCGCCTTACGTCCACCACGGTTCTATGATGATGCCGCGCCCGCCGCCGTCCCACGCAGCGGCGTTTGCGGCGGCAGAGCGCGGCGGCATCGGCGGCTCTCGCGGCATGATGCACGTGCGGCAGCACGCGCCGCACGCCCCGCATATTCCGGGCGCCCTCTGCGATTATGAGGACCCTAGCTACTATTCCACGCTTTATTTCCGGCCGGAGGTGCAGGTGGTGGTGCTGACGTCAAGGATCAAGGTGCGTGCTGCGGCGAGCACGGGAAGCATCCATGATGGTTTCCCGCGTAAAATGACTCCTGATGTGTGATCCAAAGGTCTTTTATTTGCTGTGAATTAACATCTGTATCTGTATTTGTAAGTACAGTTGTACTGCTATCTCGGTCTGCATCTGCATCTGTATCTGTATAGCCCTATGCGTAAGAAGAGCTCCTACCGATCCCACCAACCCATTTTGCGTCCCCACTTCCTCTCCCCCTGCCCCTCCCAATCACCCCCCCCGACCCCCGCTCGCTCCCCGTCCCCGTCCGCAATCCCTCCCCCATTCCCCCTCCATTCCCCCCGTCTGCAGGACAAGGTATCCCCGCTAGAGAAGACGCGCTGGTTGGACCAGCACTTGTCGTACCGCATATGTCCCTACCCCATACGCCATATCGAGTTCACTCATGCCGGGGATGCAGGTGATTTTTGAGGCGCCTAAGATTTTGGGGATGCTGGTGCTGATGCGTGAGGAGCGGGAGGGGCTCGAGAGTTGGACAGGATGCAAGGGAGAGAAAGCGAGAGAGGGAGGGGCGGGAGGGTGAGAGGGAGATGATGGGGGGGGAGATGCACCCACTTCATTGAGTTCACTCTTCATTGCCCTGTTCTACTCTCCCTACCTATCCCTGTCCCTGGCTGTTTCCCCTTCCCCTTCCCCGTCTCACTCTCATGTCTCTCCCTCCCTCCCTCCGCTTCATCTCTCGCCGCACAACCCCCCCTTTTCCAGTTATTGAGTTCGTATCGCACGTTGCAATGATGAAAGCACTCCAACGCGCGCCATTGCACTGGGACTCCCCTTGCGCCGCACCCGCTGCTGCTGCTTCCGCTGCTGGTGGCACTGCTGCTCCTGCCGGCAGCAAGAGCGGGTGGCAAGCATACCTGGAGACTTTATCAACAACCACACCAGCGACAGCAGCGATACAAGCAACAGCACCAACACAAGCAACAGCACCAGGATCAGCAGCAGCAGCAGCAGCAGGGAGGCGCGGCAGGCAGGTGGTGGCAGTGCGGGCGTGCACAGAGGACGATATCCGGGCGCTCTTCTGGGTGGGGCTCTCCTTCCCCTCCGTCATCCCACTCGCCGACGCTCTGCCGCTGATCAAGCAGGTGATTGCACGCACTGAGGCACTTCAAGGGGCGCAGAAAAAAACGTCGCAGGTGTTGCGCTTCAGGGATTGTCCTTGCAAAGTCACTCTGCGCCTGGTCAAGCAGGTGATTGCGTCCTATTTTTTGGTGAAGTCTTAAACTCCCCACCCGCCTCTTCCCCTCCCTTTCACCCACTTCAGGCCCTACAGCCGTATGGTGAGGTGAGAGGGGTGTACTCGCCTCATCCTAGCTCTTTGGAGTTTGAACAAATGCATGGGGGAGGGCAGCAATCGCGGAAGGTGCTGCAGGAACAACAGGAGAAAGAGAAGAACATTGGGAGCAAGGATGAGGAGGAGGGGAGGGAAGAAGAGGAGGAGGAGGAGGAGGACGAGAAGAAGGAGAATGACAAGGAGGTCTGCGACAGCAGCAGCACCAGCAGCATGAGCAGCAGCAGCAGCGACGGCGGCCACAATATCATCATCTCCAGCAGAAGCAGCAGCAGCAGAGGAAGCAGCAGCAGCAGCAGCAGCGATGGTGACTGCAGCAGCGATGAGGGAGAGAGCAACGACACACAAGGGATCGGCAACACCGGGAGAAACAAGAACCGAGATCCCAGTTCCTCACCTGCTAAAAGCCCCTCCTCCTCCCCATCCTCCCCATCCTCCCCAACCTCCGCACCCTCCGCACCCTCCCAACCATCCCCACCCTCCTCCCCACCCGGTACCCCACCCCCTGCGGCCTCTCCGTCCTCGCTCTCCTCTACTGCTCTGCCGTTCTCTGTCTCCTCCTCCGTCCGTCTCCCCCCTGGCTGCATGCTGAAGCTCTACTTCGCCCCCTCTGGCCGCCGTCACTTGCCCCCAACGCTTCACATCGGCAAGCAGGACAGGTGAGCTTAACCCGTGAGATCAACGGGGGGGTGGGGGCGTTTCCTTATTCCCCCTGTCCAGCATTCCCACTTCAGCCTTCAATCCTTGCTCCTTCCTCCCCTTCCCGCGTCATTCATACCTCTGCTATTCACGATTCCCCGCGCCGCTCATCGCCTTCCCTCCTCAACCCTTTCCCTCCCCCTCCCCCCCCCCCCCCTGCTCCCCCTCCCTCCCCCCAGGCGCAACAAGGCTCGTCACCCTCTCATTGCACGTCTCTTCACACCTCACGGTCCTCTCTCCATCACGTGTGCTGACTTTGGCCCCAACCACTCTGTGCACGGCTGTCCCGCGTGCGAAATGCACCAGCAGCAGCAGCAGCAGCACCAGCAGCACCAGCAGCAGCAACATCATGTTTGCGGTGCTTTCAGTGACTTCTGGGAATCGTAATGAATGACCTGGATCCAGGGGCGGTCGAGGCATGTGCATAGATCGGCATGCAAGAGCAAATGCTGTGTGATGGCGATGCGTGGGCATGTGAGCGAGCGAGCATGTGAGCATGTGAGCACGTGAGCACGTGACAGTGTGAGCTGGAGTGAGAACACGCAGTTGCTCTCGTGCTCGCTCGCTTTCTCCCTTACCTTACGCCGTCCCAAGCAGCCTTACCAGGCTAGTTGAGGTGTAACTTGGAAGGCAACACAAGTAGGTAGGTAACCTGCCATCCACGCGATGTAGATGCGACAAGAGGTATGGCACGAATGCCGTAAGATGGAATAAGGCAATGGCGTGTGCTGTTCCATGCCATGCCATGCCATACCACGTCATCCACTTTATACGGCATTTGGAGCATAGATGCGTGTACACTGTACACAATGCTGAAGGTGTTTCCGAGCTTGGCAGGTGGCAGGATCATCAAATGAGTGTATGTGTGTGAGTGTCTCGAAGATGCACCATAGTTTCATGCGATTGTAGCTAGTTCAGTAGATGGAATAAGGTTAAACCTGCTGTGAAGTAGTATCAGCTAGGTAGGTAGCTTTAGGTGTTCATATTTCAGTGTGAATATGTCTGGCGTGATACTAGTATACTTAGAACGTATATACTAAATAAATATGTTGTTATGGAATGAACCCCCAATGCAATGCAACGTGGAACGAAATTGTGCTAGCACAACTTGGGGATTGTACGAAATGCAACAATCCAGACATGTCAACAAGACACACACTCAAACCGCCTGCATAAACCGCTGATCCAACACCAGAACCCACAGGGAGAGCACTGTACTACCGTGCAATACCTACTTACAAAATGTAGTCACCCATTCCCTCCCCACCTCCCACAACCCCTCACACACCAACATATCCTCACAAACCAAGAGGTGCATTTACATTTGACAAACCAACTGCAGCAAGACATTGCAGGGTCACTCACACCCACCCACCCACCCACCTACCGTACCCACCTACGCATCCCCACCCCAGCATTACCGTAAAAAGAAAACAAAGGCTTTCTGAGGCGCCTCTGAATTCAGGCTCCCACCGACCGACCGACCTCTCCCTTATAAAACAGCTGTTCCTTTGGTGAACCCCGTTTCTTCTTCTTCTTCTAGCGCTGAAGCACTGTAGAAAGAAGAACAAGGCTCCTTTTGAGGCGCCTCAAAAGGCGCCTCAAGAGGCGCCTCAGAAGTCGTATAAGAACAAGGTCCCCACTTAAGTCTCTCCTGCCTCGCAGGTAAAGAAGAGTGCGGCCACTGGGGCTCCCAGGCCATGGTCCGCTGCAAAATGTGCTGCATGGAAGTTGGCTCTCTCATCCGGTGCTGAGACCTGATGGGAGGGAGGGAAGGGGCGAAGGGTGGGAATGAGGGAGGAGATGAGTGGGGGAGGAGTAAAGACAAGTGCGGCCACTGGGGCCCCCAGGCCATGGTCCGCTGCAAACTGTGCTGCATGGAAGTTGAGGAGGATGCAGCGGTGACAGCCCTCCTGAGGGGTGAGGGAGGGTGGGCCCGCCCCATCACATCATCATTCCCCAAACCCCCTCACGCCCCTCACGCCCCTCATGCCCCTCACGCCCCTCACGCCCCGCACCCACGCCCCACACCCAACCACCCCACCCACAGCCCACACCCCCCTCACGCCCATGACGGCACTGACCTCAAGCTGTGCGGTGGGCTGCCTGAAGAGCAGGAAGATGTAGCGGTGCGTGCCCTCTGGGGGGGTGGGGCCGTTGTACGGCGTCACCACACGGCCTGGGGGGAGGGGGGAGGGGGGAGGGGGAAGGGGCCGAATGGGCAAGGGGGGGGAGGAGGGGCGACGAGAGCAAGATGTAGCGGTGCGTGCCCTCTGGGGAGGTGGGGCCGTTGTACGGCGTCACCACACGGCCTGGGGGGAGGGACGAGGGGGGAGGGGGGAGGGGGGAGGGACGAAGGGGGACAAATAAGGGCACGGGGGGCAAAGGAGGGGTGGAGGGAAGTTTAACAAAAGTAAACGGAGGGAAGAGAAGGAGGAGGGATGAGGAGCAGTGTGGAAGGTAGGGAGGGTGGGAGGCGGGAACAAAGGTTGGTAATGTGACGGTGCGAGGGTGGAAGGGCCGGGGGATGGAAGGGCGGGGGGGTGCTAAAAAACGAGATATATATTGCAACACGAGGAGAGGTTATGCTTGTAAAAGAGCGGAAAAGAGTCAGGGAAACGGGCATGTGTCGTGTGTGCGTGCACGAGCGCACACTAATGCTTGCACGCACCTGTACCCCCACTGCCGTCGACGGGAATATCCACAACGATCCTGATGGTGATGGTGGTGGTGGTGCAACGGGACGGCGGACAGACGAGATAAATTAGTGGCAGCCTCCTCTAACGGTCCCACGAAACTAAACATGGCACATGATACATGGCATAGGATGGCATGGCACGGCATGAAATCGGAGGGCATGGTATGGCATGACATGGCACAGCAAGGCATGGTGATATTGCCCTGGCGGGCAACATGTCAGATCACCATCCAAGCCCAAACGGCCAACCGTCAAGTTGCGCGACGCGGCCGGCCCGGCCGTCAAGTTGTGTGGTCACCCGTCAAGAAGCACGCGCCACTCACCAGTGCAGCCATTCGCGCGCGGTCGGATTGGAGGGGCTGGGCGCGTCAGGGTCCACGAGCACCTGCACGGCGCACGCGGCGGGCGGAAGCGCCGGGGTGGGCGGAGACGCGCGGTGGGCAGAAATGAGAGGCGGGCGAAAATGCGCGGTGGGCGGAGCGCGCACGAGAAGAAGACGCCTCACGGATATTCAGCTTTTGAGAGAGAGAGAGTGAGAAAAAAAAAATCGTGGGCGTGCACGCAGCAGGTCGCAGGGATAGCAAAACTATCACGAAACTAGAGAAAGCGGTTGCAATGATTCACAAAAGGCACCAAAATCTAACAAACATGGGCGCGGAACCCTTTTATTTTTTGTTATTCAAGCCCAAAAATAAATAAACAACAGCGAATGGAGATTTCACTCACAAGGGTGTAATGGCTGCTCGGAACAAGCTCCGTGTTAGGACGCGCCGAAATCACCACAGCCGGCTGCACGGCGCCTTCCGACTGAGATACCCGCACGCCGTCAAGAAGCTGCCGGCCGCTGAATGACACAACCAAATCCACCTCCTGTTTAAACGGCTCCACGACATCGCGCAGCGCGTCCGCTAGCTCGCCGGAAAGAGCGCCGTCATTCCCGCCGGACGCTGCGGAGGTGGAGGCGAAGATGAGAAGCGCTCCGAGCAGCACGACGCCGACGATTGCGGCACCCATGAGGATGGTGCGACGGTTGCGCGGATCGCGGAGATAGCCGAGCGGACGGCGATTGGACTCGTCCAAAGAGAGCGCGGCCCAGTCGGACATGGGGAGACGGTTGCGCGGGCGAGCGCGAACAGAGTGATTAACAGAATCCGTCTTCAAATTAGTGCCTCTACGGCCTGATACCAGCGTTCTTGGATACGATTCTAGATTCTTCGAAGGGGCTGAGTAAGGAAATCCGAAAGAGCGAGAACGAGCACAAATGGTTGGATGAAAGTATTTGGACTTCCTCGATATTTAAAGCCTCAGCACACGCTAGACTCGTTCTTCTCAAAAGATGGGAGTTGCAAAACGATTTTCCTGCGATCATTTCTACTTCCTGCAAGACGGAGAGGCTGTAATCTTGTTTCACTAACATGTCAAGCAGCTGACATATGAAAGGCTACTGACCTTGTGCTTGGGCGTCCTGTGTGTTCAAAGCAGGAGAGCACAAATCAGGGCACACAGCAAAGCATTGAACCTTTTTAGTCATACTACCATACAAAGCAATTATTTCACTAGCAAAAGAAAAACATGACAAACAACAAAAGTCCATGTAGAACTATACAGCGGCCGACAACCCGTACTTCGTGCTGAATCATTGAGCTGCAACAGAAGCCAGTGAGGGGATGGCTGAGGCAACAGGTAGAGCCCATGATGGGATCTTATTGAGCTGAGACTTTGGAGTCCCCATGCAGGAAGCCGGCAGAAGCTGGGCCACCAGCAGCAACAGCAGATGAACCTCTGGCAAACGCGGTGTTGGCTTCAGCAACAGCTGATGTGATGGGGTGAAATGCAGATGTGTGATGAAATGCAGGAGTCCCACTGGCGTGGAATGATGGAGCACTGTGGTGAAATGCTGGCGAAGGAGCAGTTAGGCCGTTGACGCCACCAAACTGGAAAAATCCATGGGGGTTACTAAATCCAAAATCAAAACCATGCATTTGAAGCTGCTGCTGTTGCTGCTGATCACCGTGCTGAGGTTGGATGTTATTAGAAATAGTATTTGGCGCAGTGGTGCTGTTCCCAGCATGCTTGGCTTCTCCAGCTTCACCAAGAACAGTTGTGCCCTCGGCAGTTTGCAAGCCAGTTCCACTGGTGTTGTGTCCAGCCGCGACTAACTGAAGAACATTATCCGACCCCTCAACTCCCTTGCCAGTGTCCAATCCTTGCTCCTCCTCTTCGCTGCTAGCTGAAACCCTGTGGGCATCACCCTCACTGCCAGGATTTCCACTCGTTCCTCCGTTCTGCTCTTGGTCCACCTTTTTATCTTCACCATTTCCCAGCTGCTCTCCTGATCCTTGGCCTGACTGTGCCTGTGCCTTTGCAGCTTCCTCGAGCTGCTTAGTGTTGAGAAATCGTCCACCACAACCTCTGGCCCGTCTAAGTGCATGCTTGTGTCGAGACTCATGCAAGTAAGGCTGCACAGACAAGCGAGTGAATAAGTGGTGCGCACAAGCTGAGAAAAGAAAGGGGAAAAGAGGGCGCGGCCTAAGCATAAACATAGCATACCTTTCGAGCCTTCACCAAACGATTCTCGGCTTCTGCTTTAGCACGAGCTTGACGTCGACGCAAAATACCATGATACTGCTTTGCGTTGACATAAACAGGCTCTTCCTCCACAATCTCCGACGGTAATGGCATTCGTGTCTGTTGCTGTAATCCCACTAGTGGAGCCATCTGATGACAAACAGAGCAGTTTAAAATACTCAGCAGGCCAGATACAAACACAAAGGAGGTAAGGTTCATACTAATCTGGAATGGAAACCCTTCTTACCAGTGCCTGAGAGCCAAACGTGACGATATTGCCATAATAAGGGTCCGTCGCGTAAGGGTAAGCTACATGTTGAGCCGCCTACAGATATGATTGGGACAGAGCAGGCGAAACAACAGAAATGGGAAGTAAGGAATTAAATGTTTTCCTGTAACCTGTCAATAAGGTATGATAAAAACGCCAACCCTCATTACCGCCTAGTCGTTTATCGTAAATATTACAGCCATCCATTACTCGGACAGCCACCCTGGACTTACAAGACCATGACAAAAGCAAAACAATCCTTACAATGGGTCCCGAACCAAGATCGATCGTTGCATGTGGAATCGTCATATACTCAGTCGGAGCCGTAGTAGGCATCATTGGGCCAGTAGCTGCGGCAGCGGCAGCTGCAGCTGCAGCAGCTACGGCCAGATTTTGGTGTTCATCGAGTGCTGATACGGCCATAACCCCACCTGGTGCAGCAAGAAGTGTCAAGACGAGAAGCAGCACGGAGATTACAAAACGGGAAGAAAGAAACGTTGGGTTCTTAACCCTGTCGCACCGTTGTTGAAAGGCCAAAGCAACTCTTGCCGAAATAAACGAAGCGAGGAGACTGCGTAATAAGATAATAGCAATCAGTATTACTGACAGTTCTAACGAAACGGCACGGCTTCTTTGGAGTTCAAGTCCCTAAAGAAAAATGGCGAGGGGAAGGTTACAAAAATGGCGAGGTCTGGTAAAAAAACAATTACCTGGATTCGACGTCATGTCTGTAGATAAAGAAGCTCCAACCGTTCACCCGTGCTCCCAAAGACAAGGTCGACCGTGAAAATATGGATGACCTGCCATGCATTCGAAAACGCCGACCATCGCATAAACACGTAGTTTACTAGGAGTGAAGGCGCTAACTTTTTAATCTCAACATTTATCGTACTGAAATTGGAACGAAAAACAGAACAAAAAGCAGGCGGTAACCCGCTGGTACAACGATAGTGCATTGCAGAGCCAAGGAACTCCATAACTTCTGCTTATTACCTAGGAAGGCTTGGACAGGGAGGTTGGAACCCTCAATGCTGTCTAACTGTCATTGATTGGTTGGGGAAAAGTGCGGTGGTGACGCCAGTCAGCCTTGTCCACTAAGGAGAGGGAAGAAAAGGAAAGCACCAAGGTTCTAGGCGAATGGGGAGCGGAACCAAACAGGGACAGATGGTAGGGGTTTCGTCCGTTTCCTGCAGTAAAACAGCCTCACCCAGCATTGGTTGGTTGGCGGAAAGTTTCACCAAAAGATCTTACTTTCGCGAAACCTACTTGGGCTCAAGGACAGTGTCTGAGTGGCCGACGAAACGATTAATGTGGCCCCGATATCTTGAGCGAAACTCGCAAGCGCGGAAAACATGCAATGGCCACGCGGGGCATCGAGCAATAAAATCTAGGGTTTCGATGGCGAATGCGATGCGAGCTCCTCCCAACAGATGGGCTGTCCTTTTTGGTATCCACTTCTCCTTCGATTGGCTGACTAGGCATTTTCAAACACACAAAGTGCACTGCTTCTGAATTCGGAAACCTGTGCTTCGGGGACAGATGAACAATGGCACCATGTAGACAAGAGGGGTCAAGCCACCCAATCCAGTAGGATACCCAGGTTTGGGGTTACAAGCTTTGCATCCCCGCTAGTAATGCTTCTGACACAGTTACAAATGTTTTTACTCTCATTAGCCTTAACATGACAGCTTCCATCATAAACCCCTACTCTCAAGACTGCTGTCCGACCCAATTCTTTGGACCCCGAGGCTATCCATCGTAGTCTGTCTGCATGCACCCTGATTTGTGCCTAAACTCACCTTTCAAGGTCCCTTGATATCTATCTGCGGCATTTGTTTGATGCGTACGTTCAGTAAGTTCACTCAAGGATGTGTTATTTAGCTCACCCTCTGTTACTTACTATCCATAACATGTGGAAACGTATTACTGTATTTGTTCATGAAGAATGTCAGGTTCTGAATTAATCACTTTCATGTTGGATGGGCACGGATTGGGTTCCGTGTTCTACGCTTTCAAGCTTTTGGAGCGCCAGGATTCGCTCTGTATATCACACGTGGGGTCGACGTGTTAGATTAGTGTATTGCAGATTCTCAAATGCTGAGGTGGAGAGCTAGGCGTTGCGAAATGCAAATGGATTCACAAGTGCTGGTGTGGCCATCAGGTTTTTTGCCATGCTGACATGTTCACAATGGGTTGGTCGTATTTGTCGGCCTATTGGCACTTCAGTCTGACGTGACGAAGCAGGACTGGGCAGGATTGGTGTTGGGTCCGTTCTCCGAGTCGTCGTGTGGCGGCTCCTACAAATGTGCCAGCCAGGGAAGGAACTGGTCGTTCAAATTAGCCAGGGCCATTAGCGACGCGAGTGTTGGGTGTGGTGTCCCAGAGAGAAGTGATAGGGGTATCACGTGGCACACAGCCACTGGGTTCAAGTTCAACAGCCAGCTCATTTGCAGGACGGATAGCCGTCGATAGAAATGGCTCCCAGCATCCACGCGCGTCACATATCCTCGCTGGCTCTGAGGGTGAAACACCATGTCTTACGTGTCATGGCAATTTCTTGGGGCGATCCATCCATGCGGTCCGATTTTCCGCTCTCCGTGCGTGCGTGTCGTTCCGAAATATTTTTTATCCAGTCCTCCTTCAGACAAGTTCCTCTTTGCTCAGCTGCTCGGTGCCCCAGTGCCCCCATGCCAATCGTGCGCATCAGTCATGAGATGAAACATGATGACACGGGCACTTCCCGTCCCAACTCCCGCCCGACACCCTTTCGGCAGCATTGATATGGAAACGAGACGAGCCTAGGATGATCATCCCAACCAACCCAAGGGGGCTTGCCGAAACAAAACGAAATACTGGCGTGGTGATCTCCCTCCTTCCCTTCCAACTCCCCCTACGAGCAAGCTCGTGCTGACCAGAAGTGATGCTGTTCGGCTTATCCCAGTCACCTCATCCCCCGTTACCAATTAGCCAACAAGCTAACCTACACTAGTGATCTGTTTTGAGAAACAGTAAGCTGGATTCGCGTCGTCTTTTCCTTGGTTTTTCATCTCTGCAAGCAGCGAGGTCAGCTGGCTTGCCATCGACCGTTCGGTTCGCCAATGGATAATTCCACAGCTAGTGCGGAGATGGAAGTCGGGAGTAGTTGCGGTGTCGGCCCTTGTAGTCTTGCTTTCCAAATCGCAGCTGCCAAGCTTCAAGCAGAGGGATTTCTACACGGTACGCAAATTTGATAACGTGGAGTTTGCTGTTTTTTCTCCCTAATTCTTCGTCGATTTGAAAACTTCATGGATTAGGCCCTCCACTCGCGCTTTAATCCAATGTACGTTTCTCGCACTCTTTCAATCACTTCCCTGAACCTGCATTCTCTTCTCTTTCTTCCTCTTTCTTCCTCTTTCTCTCTCTCACTCACTCTCTCTCTCTCCCTCTCTCGCTCTCTCGCTCTCTCGCTCTCTCGCTCTCTCGCTCTCTCGCTCTCTCGCTCTCTCGCTCTCTCGCTCTCTCGCTCTCTCGCTCTCTCGCTCTCTCGCTCTCTCGCTCTCTCGCTCTCTCGCTCTCTCGCTCTCTCGCTCTCTCGCTCTCTCGCTCTCTCGCTCTCTCGCTCTCTCGCTCTCTCGCTCTCTCACTCTCTCACTCTCTCACTCTCTCACTCTCTCACTCTCTCTCTCTCTCTCACTCTCTCACTCTCTCTCTCTCTCTCTCTCTCTCTCTCTCTCATTCACTCACTCACTCCCTCTCACTCCCTCTCTTTCTCTCTCTCGCTCCTTGCTATTTTCCAGCGGTTGCTGGTGAACCGGTGGGCTCCACAGAACCTACTCACGCTGATACTTCCACAGTCGGTGCTACTGCATCTAATTCAGTCGTATGCACAACCGCAGCAGATCAGGCAACGGGGGAACCGTCTCGCGAAGATGGGGAGAACAAGTCATGCTGCATGCAAGGCAGTGACAACAGCAGTGCGAAAGGCAGCGATAACGGCAGCGTGAAAGGCGGCGAGGGAGAGGAGCGCAGCGTGCGGAAAGGAGCAATCGCCGCGGCAGGGGGAGGGATCTGGGATCTGAATCCGTCTGATTGGAGCTGGAATCGCGGCAAGGCGAGGATATCAGGGATAACGTCAACTGAACGTATGTCGTCAAAACGAGACGCTTCGCGCATTGCGCGTTCGCCGCCGCCTCCCGCGGAAGCTCCCTGGCAGGAACAACAGGCGCAGCCATCCGTACCACGCGCTGATACCCGCCGTGAGCGAAATCCGTTACTAACTTTAAATTTGCACGACGCGTCTGGCACAGCAGCGGCAGCGTCGGTCGCAGCAGCGACGGCGACGGCGGCTACGGCGGCGGGGGCGGGGGCGGCGGCGGCGGCGGCAGCGGCGCCGACGGCGGTGAAACGCAGTCTGCAGAGCGAGCCGAGCGATCTGACGCATCAGGGGCAGTCGTCTCCTTCGCATAACGGATCTGACACCAGCGGGTCGCCCGCAAGCAACCCCAACGAGGCGGACGCGGGGAGGCATGCGGCGGGCAAGGGGCGGCAACGGGAGCAACGGAGTGAGCCCCTCCAATGTGAGACTCCGCGGAGTGGCGCGGGATCCGGCAGTCCGCGGAACGGGAAGGCGCACGTGCTGCCGGCAGCTCCGGAGGCGTCGCCGCCGCGACAGCAGCAGCAGAAGCAGCAGCAGCGTGGAAGGGCGCAGCGGAAGCGGAAGTCGCCTGAGGGAGAGGTGGCGCGGGACGGGAAGCTTCCCGCGGGGGAAGAGCCGCCGCGGCAAGCGCAGCGTGCGTGGCCGCAGGCGCAGATCCTTCCCGCGTCAGGGAATCCAATCGGCGCGTGTGGTGACACGCTCATGCCACACGCCGGCGACCGTGAAATCAGCGCGGCTCACGACGTTGGGGGCGCTGGGGGTCAGGGCGGTCCTGGTTGTGATAGGTGGTTTACTCCTGGCGTGCCGTTGGTTTCGCCGCCGCCTCCTCCTCCTCCGTATGTTTTCGATGCTGCTGCGCGATTGAGCAGCGCGGGACGGGCAGCACAGGACGCGCTGTTTCAACAGCAGCAGCACCAGCAGCATTTTCAGCAGTTTCAGCAACAGCAGCAGCATCAATTTCGCCAGCAGCAGCAACAGCATCAGCAGCAGCAGCATCAGCAGCAGCAGCAGCAGCAACAGCAGATGCTGCAGAGCATGGTAGCAGCAAGCATGCCTGCAGGCACGTCCTCCGCAGCAGTTGCAGCCGCTAGGGCCGCTGCTGCAGCCGTCGCAGGAGCACGCGTCGCGAATGACTATTATTGCATACCGGCAGACATGCCGGGCGGAGGCGGAG